TTATTTCCCGCGCAGTGAAGCGCGTGAGGAATATTAAAAGAAAGCTAAGCCGGAAAATTGAAAATACAAGAGCGCGTGCATTTAACATTTAATAAATATCTCTTTTTGATTTCGAGAAAGTAATAGAAAATTCTCGCACGCGATTTTAAAATCTTATAAAAAGAGGGAAACCTCGCAGTTCGTAGTAGTTACTTAGTTTGCTGTTGTTTAGAAAACTGCTTTTATTGATTGTAGCGAATTCGCGGATTAGCTTTCTTTTAGCTGTTTTGAATTAACTTTTGTTGAACTTTTGAGTAGTTGAAAGATAACTACTGTGAGATATTGTATTACTGAAAGAATATCTGAGGGAATTTAAGCATTTTTATTGTGATAATAATAAAATTTTGTCCATTTTTCATCGGACTTGTGCATTCAATTCAAACGAACCCGTACGCACGCAACAATATTATATATGATTATTAACTAAATATTAATTAAATTTACACTTCTAAAAACTGTATCAGAACAAGAAAATAATAAACAAAGGTAATAAATAAAGAATTTATAAAAATATGCATGTTTAAAAGTAACTATACTTAAATCTTTAAGAATATCCTTAGCTACATTTTGTACGCAGAACAATTGGAGTAAGAGAAACTTAAATGAAACATGGAGTCCATTTAAATTTATTTGTCGAACTAAACAATTTTTCTCGGCGATGATTTTAGATGAAATCTTGATTTAGTTAATTTTGAAACTCCTTCTTACGACAGCAAATTATACTGCTAAGCGCATAATTTACAGGCAGCATAGTTTGCTCCTGAATAAAAAGGATAATTTCAATGGCAATCGAAATACACATAGAATTTTCATTTGAAATCAGTGCTGAACAAACTGCCATTTTTTTCGATTTCTAAGATTGCTATTAGAATTTAAATTTTTAGAATCACATAATCTTTCAGAATGAACAATTTTACTATTTTACCCAAGTAAATGAGTTTATACGAAAACAAGATTATTTGTGAACAAATGCCCAAAATACAGCAAAAATTATACTATGAGGTATATGAATATTATTTATAAAAGCTATGAATTTTATAATCTCATAACACATACAACGTCTGATTTAAATAATCAAGAATAGTTGGGAAGTAAGCGCCATAAAATTCAATGTTATTGTAGAGCTGATCATCACAGTTTCTTCTCTCCGACATGTGGGAACTCATACTCCGCCCATTCGGTTATTCTGTTGCTTATAACGTCTGTGCTCTCTGCCCGTTGTTGTAAACATTTTGGACTGTGAATGATAACCACAACATTCATCGGCGCACCTAATAGGCACCAAAACTCAAAAAGCACCCAAATATTTGAAAACGTTCGTGTGCGTTTTAATGTATACTTGCGTTCCTATGTGGTGGTATGTGGAAAAGGAACATTATGACGCTTTTGCGGGTTACGTTGTAGAGACATTAGGATTTTATTTTTGGAAGCAGGAGAATTGAAAAATTAGCAATCGCCTTCGCCGGGAATCGAAGCGCGGACCTCTGGAATACCGGCCCAGCGTGCAGACCACTACACCACGAAGGCACGCTAGGAAGGAGGGAGAAATACCTTATAACGTAAAAGCTTAGATCTTCGCAACCATGAAACATAGAGAATTAATTGGTTTATGTTTCGTTTGATAGATGAAAGTGTACACTACAAATAATTTTCGATTTGGAATTGCGATTCAGTTACAGCTTAGTGAAAAGTCAGCGAAAATCGCAGGAAATTTGATGACGTTCATACACTGTGCACATGCACAGTGAGTGGCCTTGTATCCCACTCCCGCACATTCTCTTCTGATGGACGGCTCCGGCACTAGAAAGTTCTTCTCTTCCTGTAATAATCTGGAACAAATTGAACTTAAGGCATGTCTTCCTCCCCTGCTGGTTGACAAGCTTTACGTCTTTAGATAAATATTTGCTTTACTTCTCAAGGACAGACCCAAGAGACATGCGACCAGTGCATAGTTATAAGGTTGTGAGGTTCCACTCTTTTATCTAACAGCTAAATATGCAGGAACCTCGTGAACAGATAAAGTTCGGGAACAGAGACGTAAAACTCAAGAAGGGTTAATTACTCTTTATTATTCAAAATAAGAATGTACAGTCGGCTCCTTTCTCAAAGCGTACAGTAAACCTCCACTTGGGCTGGAACTCAATCAGAAATAAAACTTAACTAATGCTTAACTAAAAGATATAGCCGAAGCTATCAAGGGTTTCTAAGTAGTTGGCCTCTAAAAATCAAATGGCGAAGCTATAAAGGGCCTGAAATACGGCCGAGTGTAGTAATAGCTAAAGAGAGACGTAGCCAAAAGGCGAACGCGCGCTGGTCAGAAACTCCGGCTCTCTAACGAAGTCAGTGGAACTTCGACTTAAATACCGCTCTTACTCATTTGCATTGAACGCGATTCTAAAAACACAGTCTGGTAGGAAATTGTAAGCTAGAATTATGAATGATAGGAAAACAGCTTTAACTAAAGATAACTGTCAGAAACATAGGATAAACCTTATCGATAAAGTAACTTAAAGGTAGTTCCGATAGTGGGGCTTTTGGAGAAAAGCTTAGTAAACCTAGTAGATTAGCATCATTATCTGTAGGAAAAAGGGGGGAAATTCACAGTAGAAAACCCTTAACATGGATTGAAAGCTCTTTAATTTGAAGTTAAAAACTACATTAATGATCGCCTAGATTTGGAAAACAGGATTTTGTTGGTCTCTTTCATTAATTGGAGCAAAGTGATTGATATAAAATATATTACTGGATCGTTTATTGCAGCTTACTCTCGGAATTGCAGAGAAAAAAAAGGAAACTGAAAATTATATTACACAAGAACACATAATAAATTTAAATTGCGAGACTAATTATTACTATTTATCTTCACTATTCATTTTATAAGCTTTTGTACCATAAATTTATCTGGCATTACATAACAACGAAATATATAATTTTTAAACCAAAAATTCCAAATTGGGAAACAGCATTTAACTGCAGATATAATTTTCTTCATTTTGAATGTTAAATTGGAAGAAGGTATTGAACGAAACTGGCCCTCTAAAAATAGTCAGTGTGAAGATTAGCAAGAATAGTATATATTTTGCGGCAAAGTATTCAAGGACTGCCTACTTTAGAAAGGATGCCTTCGCAGAAAAATGTTTTGAGCAAAATCCACTTGTATTCATGTTGCATATGGAAAAACTATGAGATTCACATTAAGCTATTCATTTAGTTGCCAGAACTGAATCTAGGATAAACAATCAACGTCCAGAGATTTTATTCATTCAATAATTGCCCAGTTGATTATCGTCGAGCTATAAAATAACACATCTTAATTCACTTCTACTTTTCTTGATAATTATTCCGTTCGGCAATTTTTAATTTTGTAGAGTGGTGTGTCGCATAATGAACGCTTTGCCTAATGTACGCCCCGCATAACGAAGCGTCCACGGATTAAAATGTGTCCCGCATAGCGAACCCAGTCCTGAATTGTGAATGGACGGTAATTTTCTTCACAAACTACACACGGAGCTAAATTTGTTTCACTTTCTATTTTAATGAAATTTAATCATAAATGTTTTATGCATATATAAAGATAATTAGCCAGAAAAAGAACAAATAGACACATTTCGTAATATTATATTAGACTGAAGAACTGTAAGCCCTCCTAGATCAAGAACTTGAGACAGCTTTCAGAAAAGTTTCTCCTGGTGAGGAAGAAGAAAACAAAAAGAATTTATGATAACTCTAACAATCAAGGCCCTTTTAAAGAAGTGAAATAACACTCATATTTCTAAAAGTGAATGTTTACGTAAACAGGAGTACCACGAAGTCCAGATCACAACCAAGCTCTTCATTCAGGACCATTCTGAAGAAGAGAGAGACCACTTAGGACAACTTCGTGAAATAAGAAGTTCTTATGAAAACAATGGCAGAAGAAAATAAAGGACAACTGAGTTTTCAATTTCCAGTCTTAAAAAATTTATATGAAACTGAAATTTAAATTATTAAAATTTAAAACTGAAATTAAAACAAACAAAAAACTGTGAAACTGAATACTTGTGTACATATATAAATTATAATTTTATAATTAAATAAATCAGTAAATTCTTTGTATTTCAAATGTTGCTCGTGTTTTTAATACTCTTTGAAGATTTTAATGATATTCAGCGCTTCTGCATCAGGCTAAATACATTCCCACAATTAAGTAAGGGGAACCAAATTTCACACATAACAAATGATTCACTTCAGCAACACGTTCGTTTTGCGAAATATTACTGCATTTAAATCTTCCCAGACCCATAATCTGTTATATAGCCTCGAACTCTTAAATTGCGATTATAATGTGTTCTTTGAAGGATGAACTGGCTGACTGTAGGATGTTTGTGTAATTCGTCCTTAGTAGCAGAAAGATGAGCTAGTAGTTTCCCTTAGAAAAACTCCGTCTTTTCTCGTAACGAGTAGCCTTCCGACTGCTGTTAATTAGTTAATGAATTTACTATTATTGGTTTACACTTTTTCTCTCTTATTCTTTTCCCATTTGTGGTGCTGGTTCCCCCCCCCCCCCCCAGTTTTTATTCTCTAAGTTCAACTATGTTTCAGACATACTTGTTTTTGCCTTTCACTCTCTTTTTTTCTTTACAAAATAATCAGAGTTCTTTTTGGTTTTATCGTGCTCAGTTTGATTAAATTTGATAAATATAATAAAAGAATGTAATGATTTAGTAAGGCCTACTCTGTAGTGTTGATTAATTATAATATGTATCTGAAAATTTGGGCTTAATTTATTATATTCTTTCATTACTTCTCATTATTAATTCAGTCGAAGTGTGTACATGAACTTCGACGTGTCTTAATTTCTGTTTGACCGACTTTCAAAGTTATGCATTCCTTGTATCTGAAATTTACTCTAAAAATTATCATATGCATTTATTCGAAAATAATAACACTTCAGAAAAATAATAAATGCTTTCTTCTTCCTCAGGATGCACAGTTTTGGAAAAATATTTTGTCTATTTATTCTATTAACAAGTTGCATAATGAGTAAGTATTTGATTCCAATTTTTAAAGATTATTTTTTATTATTATTCAGTTTCTGAATTTAGAATATATCACAACGTTTAACTTCTCGATTAATATTTTAATCATTGTTTTTTCTTTGTAAAAGTTGTACACTAGATTGTGAGTAACATGCCTTAAAGTTTGCATCAAATGTATGATAAAGGGATAGAAATGTGCCATTAATGTTTGGACTACAAGTGTTATAATTTCTTTGGTATCGTACAGATCTCAATGGAAACGCACAATTTTCTTTCACAAACAGCTCATTGACAGCTCAACATGTACAGAATGTTAACATGATTTGCAATATGTTGTAATCAAATTTAACACCTTGCTATGCAAGTGTTACCAAAGGGTGTTGGAATTAGGTATTGAACAGGCTGTTTGTTGTATCGGTTACAGCCGAAAACATCGCGGCAAAAACATCGCAGACGAAAATGTCGCGGAGAAAACAACGGAAGGCGAAAACGTCGTGCTACAAAACATCGTGGGAGAAAACATCGCAGTTCTAAAACATCGTGGTACAAAACATCGTCGTCGAAAATAAAGCGGTTCAAAAACATCGCAGTTTAAAAACATCGTCGTCGAAAATATCGTGGTAAAAATAAAGTATCTACAAATCATCGCATGACGATAACATCGCAGACATGCTTTTTTCAGGCATGCTTTAATAAGTGTAAATGGATATTCCCATAATGATTTGTGAGCGCAAGATGGAAAAAAGGATAATTTTTACTTTTTATTTTTTATTAATTAATAAATTTTTGCTGAGAAAATAAAAAGGAAACTTAAGCATAAAAAATTAATGCAACTTATAGCACTTAATAGAATTTTAAACCGACATAGTTAACTAACAAAGGCCATTAATAAATCATTTTTATAAAGTTTTTTACTGGTAATATTTCATGAAAAGTATAATCTATAAGTTAGATTTAATTTTCTATGCTTAAGTTTCCTTCTTACGTTTTCAGCAAAAATTTATTAGTTAATAAAATATGTGAAAGTAAAAATTTATCCTTCTTTACACCTTGCGCTCACAAATCATTATGGGAATATCCATTTACAATTATTAAAACCTGAAAAAAGCATGTCTGCGATGTTATCGTCATGCGATGATTTGTACATACTTTATTTTTTACCACGATATTTTCGACGACGATGTTTTTAAACTGCGATGTTTTTGAACCGCTTTATTTTCTACGACGATGTTTTGTACCACGATGTTTTAGAACTGCGATGTTTTCTCTTTGCGATGTTTTCTCCCACGATGTTTTGTAGCACGACGTTTTCACCTTGCGTTGTTTTCTCCGCGATGTTTTCGTCGACGATGTTTTTGCCGCGATGTTATCGGCGGACACCGTTGTATCAGGTTCTGTGTTCCTCCTTACTTGCTTAGGGAACATTTAACTGTCCTGACTCGGAGCAGGGAGCTTACTAAAGCTATGTTCAATAAATTTGGGAAGTAGACAATACACACAGGAAGGGTATACGAAACCCTTTATTTTTCTCTCTTTACAATGATTTCCGGACTTCGGAATACAGAGACCAACCACTTGTGGTCTGAACGTAAGAATATAAAAATATTAACTAAACTCTAACTAAACTAACTTTGGATTAATCAAACAAGTGCCTACTCCAAGATTGGCCGTATATTAGCAAAAAGCCGTATGTAGTACAGAGAACTGCTAACACTACGATACGTTTAAAATTATCAAGAGGATTAAACCTCTGGCCTTGAAGGCAACCAGCAACCGAGTAAAACTACTATGGCAAGCGGCCTGCTTCTAATAGCTCCTTCCTCTCTCTTGCTTGGCAAAAAGCCACAACTTAAGTACTTGGTGTTCGCAAGACAAATTTCATAAATAAGTTAAAGCTTTTAATTCTGGCCGGAAGTAGAAAATAAGAAGTGATAGTAAAGATTTAAAATAAAATAAACGTTAGTAAAAATTAGGATCCTTACAGTTGTACATAGAGTGTTGGAACTAATATCCTGTTCCAATCCTATGCAAGTATTACACAAGGTGTTGGAAAATGCTTGCTACAAACTTTAATATTCAACTATTGATCTCAGACAGCTATTTTCAGTTACAAGTTCCTCAAAATAAATTATAAAACTTTGTGAATACGATTTCAATAATGTAGAGATAAGAGTACTATAAATTTAAAATCTAGCTTTTTATCTCACCAGAACAAAACTTCCAACTGTTAGAACATTCGCTACTTTAAAAAAAAAAAAAAAAAAAAACAAAAAAAAAAAAAAAAAAAAAAAAAAAATGCACATATTTACACATAAAATTCCCAAGATATTTCAAAAGGAATTTACTGAAATAAATACACTTTCAATGTCCGTTAAAGTAAAGTAACTGTATAACTCTGAAACTCTTATGTGAGAAAATTTATGCCTTGCCCCGATCTGCAAATTTCTAAGAAAGAAATGAAAAGCAATCAAATTGAAGAACCTCAAGGGTCAGCTTTTTCAATAAAGTTATACTGATTTCAAAATGAAGACATCAGTAAGTTCATCTTCAAAATTGTTCGTAGTTTTTACCATAATATCAAACATTAAATTCCTACAATTTTAATTCAAAATCATGAACTATGAACCACAAGAAAAGAACAGGTATCAACCTAATACGCTTCCTCTCTTCCTTTGTAACAATTAGTGTCATTCTAAAATGGCATTCTGCTGTCTTTCACTCACAAAGGAAAATTTAAATACTATTTAAAAGGATCCCGTGCTAATTATTACACCTTATTCTCACTACCTACAATAAAGATGAGAGGTTACTTCCTTGAGCTTCAAAACACCGTTTATTATTATACACTTGTCAAAAGTGAAATTGCAACGCCGTGAAGGAATGCTCGTAGCGATGTGAAAATAACAGGATCTGTAGAGGTAAGACACATATGCAGACGATTAAAGAAATAAATAAAGATATGAAAAGTTAAACCTTTTATTTAGTATTTAATGTGTCGTCTATACAGGCCTCTAAAGAGCGAGGCATACTGTTTATGAGGCTATTAATGGTCTTTTGAGATATTCCTTGCCAAGCCGAGTCCACTGTAGCTCTCACTTCCTCTATGGTACGCACCTGCGGTGCCCTGTGCACCATGGCAATCCCCACATGCTCGATGGGAGAGAGATCGAGTGAGGCTGTTGATCAGGGAACGATTTCACTGTCATTGGGGCTGTCCAGAGTGTGACGCACGACATGAGGCCGGGCATTCTCCTGCTGGAATAACGTGCCGGTAGCGGCCTGCACAAGTGGCCGAACCACAGCCATAACAACTATGTTACGTAGCGGATGGATGTTAAACTTCCAGTAATGTGCACAAGGATTATCCACGACTGACATTCATCCGTAAATAAAATCAGGATTCGTCTGAAAACAATACCCGATGCCATTCGTTCTTCCATTGAAGATAACGTTGACACCAAGCCAGACGGGCAGCCTTGTGTCGAGTGGTTATAGGAACCTCAGAGGCAGGCTGCCGTGCGCGCATCCCCGCCTCATGGAACCTGTTACGGATGCTTTGGCAGGAGAAAAATGCCCCTTTTGATAATGGTAAGTAGGCTTAAACATGACTAGCCGTAACAAATGGGTTCCCACGAAACATTCGTATACCTGGATGATCCACTGCCTCTTTGCCGTGTTCTCAGATGGTCCTGCGTCCATCCTGCCCAACATTGCTGAATACTACTTCTGACCTGTTCAACACTTGACAAACTAAGTTCATGCAGTTCTAAGATACGTTCTCGTTCCTCCGATGATAACTGCTGGTATTCAGATTGCTGATATCTTCAAGGTATTTTCTAACCTTCTGCAATAATTCCGTTACAACAATCTGCCATTGATAGCATATACAGAGCGAGCCAGCTACTGGCTTTTATAGCCAGATACTGGGTATCATGTGACCATAAGCGCACGCGAATTTAATCACTTACTATATGTCTGACACCTACCAATCCTGTTATTTTCACATCGCTATGCGTATTCCTTCAGGTGTTGCAATTTCACTTTTGACGAGTGTATATTGAATAATAATGGTTTCTGGAAGCGCTGAAAAAATTATTAAAAACTGTAAGTATGCACGTAAGGCACCAAGAAAAAAGAAGCAGAACATAATTTTATTCGTATGCTAGATTGTGAAATGACCCTTTTTTTAAAAAAAATCAACGAAATTTAAGATGAGATGAAATTTGTGTTTCTGTATCTCTTTGAAACTATAGTGGTACCTCGACATACGAGTTTAATTCGTTCCGTAAACTTGCTCGTATCTCAAAGCAATTTTCCTCATTGAAATGAATTGAAATGCCATTAATCCGTTCCAGCTCCCAAAACACCACCTCAGCTGTTTTGTTAGGTGTTTTTGAATAAGAACAATGTATTTACAAGAAGAAACATTTATTTATAAATAACAAATACATATTCTATAAAAGCATAATTAAAAGAAAAAGTGCTTACAGAAGCGCTTAATTTTCGTCACTGGTCTTCGCTTTTTTCGTCACGCTTTGCTCATTTTCACCTGCAGATCGTTTAAACTGTCCAAAGAGGTTTGTTTCTTCCTCCCTTTCAGGATATTGCGGAAATGAGTTAGGCAAGTTTCGTTGAACAACTCCGATGCAAGACTAGCTGCAACTTTTTGGGGTGATTTTTATCCACGAACTCTACAACTTTCTCTCGCATTCCCAAGATCTCCTTTATATCTCTTGTAGGGATAACCTCCTCCATCTCTGGCTCCTCTTCAAAACTAATTTTTCGTTGAACCACCGTATGCTGCTGCAAATGTAGATCGTGTAAGTCCTCGGTTGTGAGCTCCTGAGACTGTTCCTCGACGAGTTCGTTCACATCTCTCTCATCCACCTCCAGATCTATGGATTTTCCCAGAGAAACAATCTTCTCTACCACTGACACTTCGGGTTCCAATCCTTCGAAGGCCCTTTCAGCTACAGCTTCAGGCTACAGCTTCTTCCATGCAGA